GTAGAACTTTTTTTTCAATACCTAGACAAAAATTAGCAAGTTAGTGGAGTATGGGGGTAGCCCCAATGCAAGGCTTAAAGGAGAACTATGGGGTCAGGGTTTTTCCCCATAGTTCTCCTTAGGGTAACGGGAGGACACAAACTAGCGTCACCCTAAGGTCAGCATACCGCGAGCTGCAAGACGCGGTATACTGAGACGCCGCAGCTGAAGCGGATCCCGACAATTATGTCTGGATCCGCCCAGCTGCGTGAGTGACAGCTGGCTCTGCCTATCTAGAGGCAGAGACAGCTGTACCCGACCCCTCCCCCGTCCTTTCCGCCAGTCAGCGCTGGAGGATCGGACAGGGGAGGGGGGAATCCAGCCCCTCCCCTGTCACCGCAGAGAGCCGTGACAGGATCGAGAAGTGAGCGAACGCCAGTGTGGGTTCGCTCACATCCCGATCAACTCAGCCGACCTGTGACAGTCTCATTATCACAGGTCGGCTAGAACTATGAGGGTGAGTGAAAAGCACTCACCTCATAGTTCTCCTTTAATAAATGTTTTGCACAGAGTTCCTTTTAAAAAAGATCATCTTCCAGAAAATGCAGCAATCTGTACTTAAAGCTCTGCCCCGCCCTATCAATGTATACATGCAATCAATCGTGTATTTCTAACTCCGATATACATAAACAAGGCAACCAGCAAGCAAAACTCAAAATAAAATACTGCATGATTTTATTGTGTCTCATTATCTCTTCAAATGCTCTTCAGTGATGAGAACTGATCTGTTCCTTTCTCATACCACTGTTTATATAAATGTTATCATTTCCCTATCCACTTCCAGTTCCTGCTACTCTGGGCCAATATAAAATGACAATGTGGTTGTGAAAAGCCACTGTTTTATTATGATTCTCAGATGCCTACGTGAAAAACGGACTCTCTGCAATACATCATACACACCACACCCTAATGATCAACTAACAACTGCAATCCACTCCAAATGTTGCAATTCCTATTATCGAACGCTTGCCATATTAAACACATTACCACTGGCTAAACAAAAAATGCAACCCAAATTTGTTCGACTGATCATTTCCAAGTTCCTATTTCCTTAGGCACTGTTTGCAGTCCTGAACTTGAAAGCCGGGCATTAAAAAGGTCTTATAGGCTGCATTGACGGTGACTCTATACAAAGTGCAGTGAAATGAATAGAAGCACATGAGCAGTGCTGATACATGCATCTATTCTGTGTTTTATATGCTCTCAAATCAAACCCCAAGCTCAACAATACCCCCCATAAAGCTCTTATGCAAGAAGACCACTACAAGCAGAAAATAAAGTATCCTAAGAAACCCAAAAGATGCCTGAGGATGGCATTTTACAAGTGGTGAACATGACTAATGGCTGACATTAACACTGCTCTGAGAACAAACGTTTTTTTGGCAAGCTCACCAGTGTGTAGTGCAGGGAGAGACCGCGCATAGCATTAGGACAACATAAAAAGCCCTTTTATAAAGGGGGAGGTCTTTTTTTTCTTCTTCTATTAGTTTTACCAGAATCTGTCATTTTCCTGTTCATAGGATTCCCATTCAGAATTGTATCTCATTGCTGGATCTGTGTATTGTTTCTATCACTTTTTTTTTTATAACCGCTCTTTCCTCTTCTCCTTTCCCCTGCTATTTAACTCCAACTGTTCAGTATTGAAAAACAAGGATTTGTTGTACAATCTATACAATGTGTATTTTTACCAGGGCTTGCCCAAAACATTCACTGGATACATTCTTCTAGCTATAGGGAATGGAGCTAAAGAGTGCAGAAATGGGGGGAAGGAATTATTTTAATATACATTTGTATTTTACTCCAAAACAGGATGGAGAGTATGTTTTAAAAATTGTGTTTATAATTGTTCACTCCTCCTGCCCTCTCCACGCCCTTCAGTGAATAACTAGTCTCCTAGGAGTAACAGCAATACTTGCATTCCTGTACTCCACTGGTATATCTTTATATACAATATAGTTACCTGAGAGTAATTTAGCAATACTTTGTATAGTCCACACTGGTTTGTCATTATATACTGTTTATAGTCCTTAAATAGCCCTATAAATTAGGAATGCTTGCATGCCTATAGTCCGGAACGGTTTGTTTTCTTATATAGTACTCAGATGGTAAGTTGGCAATGCTTGTACGTCTGTAGTGCAGAGGGGCTTGTCCTCTTATATAGTACTCAGGTGGCAAGTTAGCAATGCTTGTACGTATATAGTCCAGAGGGGTTTGTCTTCTTGTATAGTACTCAGATGGTAAATTAGCAATGTTTGTAAATCCATAGTCCAGAGGGGCTTGTCTTTATAGTCCTCTATATGCAAGTTAGCATTGCTTTTATGTCTGTAGTCCAGATTAGTCAGAAAGAAATGACTAATTAGCAATAGTTGTATTTCTATAGTTCAAAGTAGCCAGTCTTTATATGTAGTCCCCTTGGCAGTAAGTTAGCAATATCTACATCTCTATAATCTATTTATCTTTCTATGGTCGTCTGAGCAGGTGAGGAGGTGTCCTGTAGATCCAGCACAGTCTCTGTGTATGTGGGTCGGTCTCAGTCCTCTGGGGACATTCCTCTTGTTTTCCATACAGCAGCACCAAGCCGCTCCGGATCACACAGACAGAGTGTTGTGAACAAAAATAAGTTAGCAATACTTTTCAGGATGCCTTGTCTTTCTAGATAACCCCCAGGGAATATGTTAATACTTTTATACCTATATTCCAGAGTGACTTATATGTCTATCGATCTATATATCTATCATTGTATCTATGGTCTATCTATCATTGTATCTATGGTCTATCTATCATTGTATCTATGGTCTATCCATCCATCTATCATTGTATCTATGATCTATGTATGTATGTATGTATGTATCTATCTATGGTCTATCTATATAAAATTATATCTATCATTCTATCTATATAAAATGTATATCTATCTATCTATCTATCTACGGTCTATATATCATACTATATATCCGATCTATGGTCTATATGTATATTATTCTATCTTTCTATCTATGGTCTATATCATTCTATTTATCAATCTATGGTCTATCTATCTTTCTATCAATCTATGGTTGGTCGGTCTGTCTATCTTTCTATATATGGTCTAGCTATCTGTGGTCTATATGTATATTATTCTAGCTATGGTCTATATGTATATTATTCTATCTTTCTATCTATAGTCTATATCATTCTTTCTATCAATGGTCTATCTATCTTTCTATCAATGGTCTATCTATATTTCTATCAATCTGGTTGGTCGATCTATCTATCTTTCTATCTATCTATGGTCTAGCTATCTATGGTCTATCTCTCTCTATCGATCGGACTATTTGCACTGCGTGATGTTCTGGTGTATAAAGCATGTAAGCCCACTTCGCATATAAAACCAGAAGTAATACTTACAATGACCTAGGGATAGGAAACAAGTGCGAATAATAAAGGGTACTATTGCAAGAAGCCTCCAAATCGTGCACAGACTTCCCAGCGCGGAGTTCTGCAACTGAGACGCGGCTGACGAGGGTTTCGGCATTGCCTGCAGTGCCACAGAACGCACATAGGTGGCAACAGAGCGCCCGTGAAGCTGCCATCGGTCACGTGAGCCAATTCCTGGAAAGTTCCTGGAAAGCGGCCTTTGTATTTACCAGATATGGGGAGGGAGAGCCAGGCGAGGAGATTAGAAGCGGGGGAGGGTCGTTTCGTCGCACACAAGGAGAGATGGCTAATGGGGTGGGGGTGAAATCAGGATCCCTGATCACAAGTCTCATACAAACAAACGCACGTTTCTCTGCAGACGTGCTCAGTCTGGCTCCGTGCGTCTCAGCTGTCAGCTCACACATCATGCCCCTGTGCGCTGCCAGCCCCGCTTCACCTTGTACAGCGCTGTGCCTATGCCGTGCCTTGGAGCTAGTGTGATGAGCGGCTGTCCTGTAGATCCAGCACCGTCTCTCTCTGTGTGTGGGTCGGTCTCAGTCCTTCGGGGACATTCCTCTTGTTTTCCATACGGCAGCACCAAGCCGCTCCGGATCACACAGACAGCCAGACAGCGCTGGCTCGGGGCTCCGCGGTGTGACAGCTCCGCTCTGCGCCCACCCATCGGGGGACCGTGCCGTGGTGTGTCGGTACGATGTCTGCTGGGCGAGGACGATGTCTGTCAGCCGCCGATCTGTGTGTGTGCAATATTCTACAACAGATTCCTAGACAGCATCGGCAGACACATGTCTGGTAGAGGACAGACACAAAGCTCCCCTCCACCACTGTACAAGGAGCGCCATCGTACGATCTACATACACATGAGATCGGACTACTCGTATAAGAGATCTTTATATCTGTCTGATCAGTATTATGTATGGTCCGATCGTCCGCACACGGTGTCCTTTTATAGCGGTGGATATGTATATCAATCTGATTGTCCTAGAAATACCTTTTTATATCGGTGAATATATCTTTAGAGCAATCTGATCGTCCCGGATGGATGTGTTTACATCTATCTATCAGTGTGTGCTATAGATGTTTATTATATTGCCCTGATGATCCTGGATTGATTGTCTGATCGGCCTGCAGTAGAGACTTGTATATGGGTGAATGTATCTTTCGATCAATCTGATCGTACTAGAACAACCTTTTGTACATGGATTTGTATGTCTATGTAATAATCGTTCTGGCACTTAGTCTGATGTGTGAATCGGATGGGGATTGTATGGTGTGTAGTGATGAGAGCAGTCAGGTGTTGGTGTGTGTGTGTGCGTATACGATTCCCCCGCCATACAATCGGGGTCGGGGTCAGGTGTCCCCCGTGCAGGGAGGGAGGGGTGAATACCCGTCCAATGTACAGGACACTGTGGGGGTTCAGGGGTGTCATCTCCCTCCTCAGGGCTCGTCATCCTAATCCATCCCATTTGTTGCTTTTCAGTAGAAGATCCGCGGAGATCCCGTTCTTCCATCCCCTCGCCCTGACCTCCGACTATGACCTGCAGCAGCCGGTAGAAGGTGCACCGACTTGGCTCCAACCGCAGACAACCCGCCCCGATTACCTGGCTGGAGGGAGAGGAGCTGCTCGGCCTGTCCAATGACCCTCCGATCGCCCGACACCACGGACAGTGCGAGCGCCATAGAGAACGGGGAGCAGGGATCATCACCTGGGGGCAGCGAGGTGAGCCCGACCGGGGACGAGCGCATTGCAACCTCCATGGTGGAGCTCCGGAGGTCAGGTCAGTTCACCGCAATGACGAGCCTTCTGTACACTGCCAATGATAGGTCACCTGTTACTGGAACCCAGGACCACAATACCATGGGGAGGTGGGTTGTCCATGGCAACCAATCAGCTTCTAACTTTCATTATCAAGTCTTAACTAAACAAACTCTAGAGATAAGCTGATTGGCTACTATGGGCCACTGCTCCAGATGCTGTCTGCTCCAGCTTTCATAAATGATTCCCTCCAATGGTTGGACAAGTCACATCATATTGTTTCTGATGAACAAAACTGCCTGTATGGAGGAAGGAAATGGAAGTTACATTTTTATATTTTTTTAAATCTAATAAATATACATATACTCAAAAGAAAATGTACCTATTACAAAAATACAGTTGACCAGTGCCATTTAAAAAAATAAATATGTACTGTATACAGTCAACTGTATTTGTAATCGTACTTTTTATGCAATATATATTTACAAACACACACTTCTAGAATGTGTAACGGTGCAGTTCTTGGTCAGTATGTGAACAGATGAGTCTGATCAGGTATAGTTAAAGGGAAGGCAATGATCACAGTGTCTCCTGTCTCCAATGCCGCTGCTTGAACCTCAGTGCCTGGTAAAGCTTCCGCCAGAGCCTTTACTAAGCAATAGATAAAAAAAGGGCGCTCACAAGGGGATCCTTACGTTGTAGGCTACGACCAAGGCTCAGTTTGGGGGCTGAAACATGTCAGCGTTTGTTTGCTGCTGTTATGCCTTTTTGCAAAAAAAGAGTGGATGGGCTGGTCCCCTGGCGAGTGCTGGCTTTTGACCTATTACTAATGTAAAGATGATTCTGAAGAAAGGGGCTTGCCCCTGAAACGCGTCAATCTTGGCTGAGTGCGGCCGGTGGATGGCGATGTGACCGAAGGCACCGTGTTACATAGTCGGGGCGATACCATGTTGGGTTAACAGACAGTGTGACCTCTCGTTTGTTGTTAAAGCCTGATGAAAACGTTTGCTTGTGAGTACATTTATCCCTTGTTTTATTTATCTTAATAAACTATTTTACACACGGAGGTGGCGCACTGTTCCCTTTTTGTTTTCTAATGTAAAGTCATGTGCTGTGATGCAGGTTGTTAATGAGTGTCGTCACTTTGGAAGAAGTTGGTTTATGGTGCGCACGTCAGACGAGCCTGATCTGTCATAACAGAGCTTTTGTTTGGATACAATCGGCTTACTTTGTCACTGGCTGATCCTGAACAAAGGCGTGCACATGCCGTCCTCTGTCCATTCTACATCCAGTCTGCTGCTGGCTCAACATCCAGCGCCCGTTCAGCAGAAGAGGTCGAAGTTTGAAATCTACTGTTCACCTTTTAATGCATTCATTAGTTTAGGGTTAAGGGGGTGGTGGGTTTTGTCATCAACATGCAGATTGATCATACAGATTTTTTTTATTATGATGGTAAACGGATATTTATTTTATACTGCATTATACAGAGCTTCTGCCTCCTGGGATATTACAATGCTAACATTAAGAACTAATACATAATGCATGCTCTTTCCATGTGCATATTTAACAATGTCCACAGGATCACAATCTACAGTAAATGTAGTCTGGATTTGTGATGGTATCATCCTACAAGAGTAGTCTTTACCTCATATAAAGGCTGCTATTAACTGTCCAGAAAGTACATGGTAAATGTAATGAGCAAACCTCTAGGATGAGCTCTACCACTAGTCCCATGACCTGTGCCATGGCACACATCTTATGGCAATCACAATGTTGGCAATTTGAGTATGGCCAGGAGACTCCACTGATGTTTATTGGTTAGCATGGCTGCATGATGCCAGCAAGGGAAAAACTGGGGGGGAATTCATAAACTGGAGCAGTGAGACTCTGGAGCAGTTGCACATGGCCACCAATATTCTGTTTCATTTTCAAAGCTTAAAAGAGAACTATGTGGTAACCTTTTTATCCCATAGTTCTCTTTAGGGTCACGGGCAGACATATACTAACCTCCTTCCGTGACCCAAAGCTCATTTTATAGTGGGCTATATCTCTCTATATGCTGAGAGCGCCCCAGCTGGGATGGATCCCGACAATACTGTCTAGATCCACCCAGCTGGCTGATTGACAGCAGGCTCTTCCTGTTCCTCCAGTCAGTGCTGCAGGATCGGAGAGGGGAGGGAGGAATCCCTGCGGGGAGCGGGAACGGTTGAACAAGCTGTAAAAAGAGAAGTTAAAGTATAATTAAAGCCTCCAGTGTTTTTGCATATATCTACGGCTAGCAAAAAGTGTAAAAAAAAACGCTTTAAATGCGGTTTAAACTCACCTGTGTCTTCCCCGCGTGCTCCCGTCCGAAAATGTGGAGAGACACAAGGTAAGTCTATAGACGCATGCAGACACCGTGGGACAGGAAGTGCCAGCAGGGACAGATAAAAACGACAGGAAAGAAGATCGGATTAAGAAAGATAATTTAAGGCGATGACATTAACTTAGGGGGAGGGAAAACATTTTTTACTTTAAAGGAGAACTATGAGGTGAGTGATTTTTCACTCACCTCATAGTTCTAGCTGACCCCTGACAATGAGACTGTCACAGGTCGGCTCAGTAGATCGGGAGGTGAGCGAACACATACCGGTGTTCGCTCACCTCTCGATCCTGTCACGGCTCTCTGCTGTGAAAGGAGGAGGGGCTGGATTCCCCCCTTCCCGCTCCGATCTGCCAGCGCTGACTGGCCGAACGGACGGGGGAGGGGGCGGGCACAGCTGGCTCTGCCTCTAGATAGGCAGAGCCAGCTGTCAGTCACGCAGCTGGGCGGATCCCGGCACAATTGTCGGGATCCGCTTCAGCTGCGGCGTCTCAGTATACCGCGAGCAGCAGCTGCGGGTTCTCAGTATACTGAGACTAGGGTGACGGGAGAACGCTAGTTTGTGTCCTCCCGTTACCCTAAGGAGAACTATGGGGAAAAGCCTTAACCCCATAGTTCTCCTTTAATGTCACTTTAAATGGTTGCCATGAGCAACTGCTCCAGATTTTGTCTGCTCCCGTTTTTATGAATACCCCCAAGTAATTCCCTTGTTGGCATCATGCTGCCATAGTAACAATGAAACATTGGTGGTCCATAGTAGGGTCACAGACTGTGTTCTGCGCATACTTGCTTGTGCTATAGCAGCGTGACAAATGTGGTTGTTGAGGGGATATTCATGGGGTGCCATGAGACATTTGCATTTATTTTTCTCTTAGTAGGCTAGAAGTCAGTGAAGAGGTGGAGGGGCAAAAGTGGACCACTGGTAAAAGTAGAATGCTTTGTTAGGCATGTCTCTAAGCCCACATGTATTATCCTTCAGAGGGAATATAAATGGAGAAATACGTTTTTGTTTTGTATTATTTATTGAACTCCATATTCTGTCATTTATGAGTGTTACTGGATCTAAGGTTATTCTTTAAGTTAGGTAGGGGCTTTATGCAGCACTGGTATATTGGGTACATTTCATTATAATAATTAGATTAATTTAGATCAATTCATCAAAGAAAAATATGGAATAATATACATACATACATACATACCTTGTGTTGTTTTTATTATACACCTATTTGTATACTTTGTTTTTGGTTTTGTTTTGACTTGGCGCCAATCATATTGTTACATAATGTTGTGGTATCTTGTATCATTGCAATGGTTGCAATGCTAGAAGCCAATAAACTGCTTCCAAGAAGCAAACAATGAGAATGGAATACATGAGTTTATACAGTGAAGCATTTTGCTTAAGGTCAGCAAACATGTATCAGATGAGATACTCCAGAGGAGCACTTGGTAGTTCTAATGTCTCCAATGGCTAGCTTCTTTTACTAAATTCAGTCATTCTAGATAATAGTCACTTTTGTGTAGCGATATATCTAGGGTTTAGCGGGTACAAAATAAAAAGCAACCTGATAAATATATGACAGGATCTATGAACAAAAGTCACACTTTTATCACTTTAAATGAAGGCAAAGTATTCACTGACGCATGAACCTAATACGAGAATGCTCTGTGCTAATAACAATGATGACATTGCTCAATTAGGAATGCTTTCTCCAATAAGAACAAGTGTTTGGTTGTAAGTCACTTGATGATGGCCTTTTAGCTTTTATATTAGCACAGGATGAGATGCACTATAGACACAATGCACTCAAATTATTTATCAAATAATTCTTGGCTGAGGTTGATTTGACGCAGTTTTTCTAAAACTCAGTATCCTCATTTACTATGGAGGCCATGGAGAAACAAAGAAGTCAATAGTGAAGAAAAGTAGCATAAGTATATATGAATTTTGATGTACAAATGCAAGTTACCGTACAATATGCTGCGTATATGCGGGTATTGTCCCATATACAGCATATGCAGATAAATAGCTCCATACACATGGCTGCGTATGCACCATATATTTGCACTGCATAAAGATGCGCAAAAACAGAATGGACCCAAGATGCGTCCGGGCAACGTATTTCTGCGTATTTTACGCGCATATACAGTTCATTAAAATTTCTATTATGAATGATGCATTCTGGGATAGTGCATGCATATACGTGTTTATGCGCAGTATACCATTTTGCTCTTGCGTTGTGTGTGCATGAGGCCTAAGACTTTAGGGAGTCTGTTTTTAAATGTCTTCATGCAAGATTCACACCACTTTCATCCAGGATTTATACACTTTTTTCAGTTAAATCATTTTAGAAAAAGGAGGGAATCCTGGGTAAAAGTTGTTTTTGCATCTTTGCGTGAAAACAATAATAAATAGATCTCATATATATTTTTGGCAACATCATTTGCTCATTTTCTAGAATTATAAATGTAACCACTCCAAGTAAGAAGTGAAAATAATTAACTGCTGAATCTATCCAGGAAACATTGAGGCTGTGTTGGAGCCAGGATGCCCACTCAGTGCCTTTCCATTTTTATTATGCCTTGCAGCCAGATTTAACAGTCTTCTTAAGGAGCCCATTAGGGATGGGCTCAAAGTTCGAGTCAAGCAAGAGTTCGACTTG